TGTGATAAACACTGTAATCCAGTGCTTTGTGATCTGAATCTTTTGAGGGTTTATAAAGTGTCCCAGCTGTTGTGTCATAAATGATCTGAGAGCTGTTAATGATGTGATTATAAGGAGGGAAGTGTTTGCATGGACCTCCCTCTGCAGGTGTGAAAAGACAACATGGAAAGCAGATGTACTTTCACATCAGTAGAGATTTCAACAAGAGCAGGGGGAAATGTCAAAACACCAAATACCTGGTAACTGCTTGTATTGTAAATTACTACAGGGACAGACAAGATGTATTTTTCTGGCAGTATATTCAACTGAGAAACATTTCTAATTTTTTTTTTAAGAGGAAATCAAAATATTTATCTTAATGGATTCTGGTCATACACTTTGAAGAGGCAGATGACACTTTATCATGACCAAATTACAAATATATTACTTGCACCCTATCACTGCACACTGTTGAATGGTGTTCATTTTGTCTTTGACAAATATCATTGCCTCTCTCTTTTCATAGAACAGGAAAGTCATGTTTTCATGTCTTCTCTAAGCTATGGATGTGCACAATTAGTCAGCTAGTCTATTAGATGCACCTCAAGGAGACGAGCAGCAAGTAGAGAGGAAACTTCTGGATGAGCTCAGCGAGGAGACACAGGTGTATTCATGTCTCTTCCTTGCATCTCTTGTCTTCTGGCTGTTTATCTTAAAATCTCTTGGTGATGGTGAGATGGTGAACTGTAACTAAATGAGCACATGAATCTGCAGTCACTGCTGATCCAGCTCTGTTTGTGATGTGGTGAACTGAGCTCACAAAGCGTGTAAGTATGAAATTGTAGTTCAGTCGAGGGTTTGATTGTCAGTCAGTTAAGATCAATGAGAATAGCAGATCTGAGTGTCTCCTTTTAGTGACAGAGGAGAGAGAAACTTGACACCGACTGCCCTCTGGTGATTTTATAGAAGAAACTGCATTAAGTTACACTCATTTTGGGTGTTTTCAGAAATGTGTGTAATGCAGTGAAAATGATTTATTTTTTAAAACATACATAAAAAGAAATTATAGAATTTAAAACACACATACATGCTTAAGCTCTACCAGCCCCTTGAGAATGAGCACTGTAGGTTTTTGTACAGCTGTTCAACCAACTCCAGTCACTGTGGCTGTCGAGCACAATAATAAACAGCAGAATCTTCAGTCTTCAGACTGTTCATCTGCAGATACACCTGCTGTCTGCTGTTGTCTCTGGAGATGGTGAACCGGCCTTCAACTGACTGAGAGTAATATGTGGTGCCACCACCACCGCTAATATAAGCGATCCACTCCAGTCCTTTTCCAGGAGCCTGTCTGATCCAGTGCATAGCATAGTTACTGAATGTGAATCCAGAGGCTGTACAGGTCAGTCTGTGAGATTCTCCAGGCCTTTTAATCACTGGTTCAGATTCTGTCAGAGTCTGACCATCAACACCTGTCAAGACAGCAAGAAAACCATGACATGAAACAAATTTACAACCTAAAAGAAAACCTAATATAGTAATCAACAAAAATCTTCACCTGCCCAGCAGATAGTTAAAAGCAGCAGTCCTGTCCTATAGTCCATCATGTTAAACTGTGTGTCCACTGTTCTCTGTCCTCCTCTCTGCAGTCACATAAGTAGAGGTGGAAGATATCTGAGTTTTGCATTGACTCCTCCTTTCTGACTGAACAGTGTCCTCTGTTTAATTTCTCCTCAAAACATGTCTTTATTTTAAGGCTTTTGTCTAACTACACATATTTTGGGTTGTCTTCTACTGAAGACAAAGTTCACATCTGTGTTAATATTTTTGATTTTGTTCATATTTCTAACCTGGTGTCACTATTATCCTTGTTTGACTGTAAGTCACTTTCTAATATGTAAATATGTTTGTTTATTGACTTACTTTATTTATGATGTTTTTTCATGCAACATACAAATTATGGGATATTGCTACTGTGTATAAAAACATTTTCATAAAATCTAAAGTCTGTTTCTCTCTGTACTGTAACAGTGAGCTGGTGTTGAAATCATTAGTGGTCTGAGGGCTCCTCCTCTGGTGGCTTCATGTTACAAGTGTTCAGGCACTGAGGGGTTTTTGTTCAGGTCTACTGATGCTTTGTGTCACTGTGGCTCTCTGGCACAGTAATACACAGCAGTGTCTTCAGGCTGCACATTCTGTCCGTTTAGAGTCACTGTTTTGCTGGAAGAGTCTGAGCTGATACTGAACTTGTTCTTCAGTGAATCTTTGTAAGTTGAGGTGGATCCAGCAGCTGCTCGTCCAATCCACTCCAGTCCTTTCCCTGCAGGCTGTCTGATCCAATGTGTCCAGTAGCCACTAACAGAATAAGAGACCTGACAGGTGATGGTCAGACGTTGACCTGGCTGCACAGTCACAGAGGCTGGCTGTGTCAACTGTTCACACTTCACACCTGTTAAAAACAAAGATTGTAACAAATTAAGAAGTTACAGAGCAAATGAAGAACTGTTGACTTTGACAAATCCAGAGAGACTCACATCCAGCTGCCAACAGCAGCAGCAGAGCTACAGAGAACATGGTTTATGTTGAAACTGACGTGCTGTGAACTCCACTGACAGCCTGATGTGATGTTTTTATAGCTGAGTAACAAGGAAGCTCACTGAGTTTGCATAGAATCAAACATATGAAGCATCAATGTTGGTCTAACTGGAGCCAATAGAAGAGTCTGTTCAGTGTTATTATATCTGCAGAGTGACAACAAATCACCTCTGCTTTACACAGTGATGTAACTTTATTACACACTGAACAGTAACATTTAGAAAATGTCCCTGCCTTTACATAAATTAAACAACTGTTAACTTTGTTTAAGCCTACTGTAAACTATCAGTGCCTAAATGTGTTGCATTAACATGCATTTACTACATACAGCACTTATTGATCCAATAATTTACATACTTACTGTACTTAATTAATTTCATGAAATTAACTGCAACATTGTTTTTATTATCACATATTATGACTCACTTCAAGTTCCACATAACTTTATTGTGTCTTATTTTGTAAAATGTAAAGTATTTGCAGTAGTTTAATTTCAGCCACAAGATTATTGTGCTGTCTTTGGCCATTTTATGAACGAGTGATGTTTATTGTGTGTGTTAGGGTTTTTTATATGTTTAATGATTTGTAATAGTATTTCTCAAGAACACTTGTTTGAATTGATATAGTGCAGGTTCAGATATTACCTTTTTATTTATGACATATTTGTTATGTAAAACATAAAGTACAAAACATTAACATTATACAGAAAATACAGCATTACATTTTATAGAAATACTAAAAAAATACTTAATGCTTAGGCTCTAACAGCCTGAAAGAAGAAGTGCACTGTAGGTTTTTGTACAGCTGCTCAACCAACTCCAGTCACTGTGGCTCTCGAGCACAATAATAAACAGCAGAATCTTCAGTCTTCAGACTGTTCATCTGCAGATACACCTGCTGTCTGCTGTTGTCTCTGGAGATGGTGAACCGGCCTTGAACTGACTGAGAGTAGTGTTTGCTGCTACCACTATTATCATTCCAGGCAACCCACTCCAGTCCTTTTCCAGGAGCCTGTCTGACCCAGTTCATCCAGTGGCTACTAAGTGAAAATCCAGAGGCTGTACAGGTCAGTCTGTGAGATTCTCCAGGCCTTTTAATCACTGGTTCAGATTCTGTCAGAGTCTGACCATCAACACCTGTCAAGACAAAACAAAAGTGTGAAATATGTCAGTCACACAATTAAGAACTATGTCTAATCAAGATCAGGTAAAAGCTTCACCTGCCCAGCAGATAGTTAAAAGCAGCAGTCCTGTCCTATAGTCCATCATGTTAAACTGTGTGTCCACTGTTCTCTGTCCTCCTCTCTGCAGTCAGATAAGTAGAGGTGGAAGATATCTGAGTTTTGCATTGACTCCTCCTTTTTAAACGTGGAGTGTCTTCTGTTTGATCTCTCCCCAAAATGTATTTGATTATATGAATTTCCTATGTCCGACATATTTTTTATTCATTTTTTATCTTTTTATAAAGAATCATCTCAATGTTTCTCCTGCAGGTTGATTATTTTTTCTTTTGATTTTGCGCACCATAATAAGAACAGAATTTTTAAACATTTCTTTGAGGGAAATTCTGACATCCAACACTTGAAAGTCATTTGCTGTGTTTCTGTTCTGTTTGGGATATTTTCCTTTTTTTCTTTTTTGTGTGTTGTTTTGTTTGTTTAAATGAATCAAAATGAAGACAAATGTTCACGTGTTGTTCTTCATCACACACAAAGAGAAGGTGGAACTAATATATCTGACAAACACAATTTAGATTGGCAATGAAAACACACTTTTCTATATTTTGAATAATTAACACTGCTATGAAGTTGGCTAAATACTGAGCCAGTCACTAACACAGTTATAATTCTAATATCAACTTAAAATAACTAAAAATGATGATATTATGGAAGAAAACTGACTTTTGACCGATTCATTTCTACTATAGTTAGATGATGAGCTTTAAAACTAAGTTCAGTTGTGACCTTAATTTGTCATCACTTAAAAGGTTATTTATATAATGCTGCATCAGTTCTTGTGATTGTGATGTCAGAATATCTAAAATGATTTAAATAAGAACTGTATATAAAATCTTCAGTCTGTTTCTCTCTGTACTGTAACAGTGAGCTGGTGTTGAAATCATTAGTGGTCTGAGGGCTCCTCCTCTGGTGGCTTCATGTTACAAGTGTTCAGGCACTGAGGGGTTTTTGTTCAGGTCTACTGATGCTTTGTGTCACTGTGGCTCTCTGGCACAGTAATACACAGCAGTGTCTTCAGGCTGCACATTCTGTCCGTTTAGAGTCACTGTGTTGCTGGAAGAGTCTAAGCTGATACTGAACTTGTTCTTCAGTGAATCTTTGTAGTGTGTGCCTCCAGTATTTTTCATTCCAATCCACTCCAGTCCTTTCCCTGCAGGCTGTCTGATCCAAGCTGTGTAGTAGCTGCCCACAGAATAAGAGACCTGACAGGTGATGGTCAGACGTTGACCTGGCTGCACAGTCACAGAGGCTGGCTGTGTCAACTGTTCACACTTCACACCTGTTAAAAAGAGAAAATGTTTTGTAACAAATGATCAAATTAACAAAAGAAGAACTGTTGACTTTGACAAATCCAGAGAGACTCACATCCAGCTGCCAACAGCAGCAGCAGAGCTACAGAGAACATGGTTTATGTTGAAACTGACGTGCTGTGAACTCCACTGACAGCCTGATGTGATGTTTTTATAGCTGAGTAACAAGGAAGCTCACTGAGTTTGCATAGAATCAAACATATGAAGCATCAATCTTGGTCTAACTGGAGCCAATAGAAGAGTCTGTTCAGTGTTATTATATCTGCAGAGTGACAACAAATCACCTCTGCTTTACATTTGATCCATTTTCCAGCATTTGCATGCAACCATTGCTAACTTTGTTTTACTGTCAATATTTTGTATCATCTACTTACTGCATTTATTAATTCATATACTGCTTCACTTACTGTACTGACATGATTACTGTATTTGCTGTACACACACATAAAGTGACAGCAGCCAGAATCATGTCAATTAAATAGTATAAAAACTTCAGTCTGATGCGGCTGGTTTGAATAAATTCTTTTTAACAGTTTCAGTGTTTCTAGTTGTTGGAAAACAGCTGCTCAGGAACTGAAATGTTTCACAAACTGCAGTAAAATAAATATTTCAATGGCGGTGAAAACTTTGGTAGTTTTTACATTTCTGAGTTACTTTTTGTGTTAATCAACACTGATTACCTTCATCTGTGTGGTTGTGTCACATATATATGCACATTCCTTTATTGCAACAAACTGTCAGTATTGTCTCACATCTTTTCTGGATATTTCTCTGCAGACACAATAATAATTCTTTGATTATTATATTAATACAATTTGAATATGAAAACCTCTCTATACAAAGTATTAAGCTTTAGTTCATGAGCTAGTGTTCTTTACTGTGGTGTCTTTTAGGTTTAGGAATAATATTAATCAGTTTTCAGGTCTTTATAATGCAGGGACAAAAATTATGAGATGTTAAAAGACATACTTTAAACAATATGAAATACTGAAACATGATGTATATTTAATGTTAATAATATAGTATGAACAAATAGCCTACATTACAAATTCTCAATGCTTGTGCAGCCTGGAAGATACTCTAGGTTTTTGTACAGCTGTTCAACCAACTCCAGTCACTGTGGCTGTCGAGCACAATAATAAACAGCAGAATCTTCAGTCTTCAGACTGTTCATCTGCAGATACACCTGCTGTCTGCTGTTGTCTCTGGAGATGGTGAACCGGCCTTTGACTGACTGAGAGTAGTATTTGCTGCCACCAGTATTGCTGATATGAGCAATCCACTCCAGTCCTTTTCCAGGAGCCTGTCTGACCCAGGCCATGTAGTAGTCACCTAAGTTAAATCCAGAGGCTGTACAGGTCAGTCTGTGAGATTCTCCAGGCCTTTTAGTCACTGGTTCAGATTCTGTCAGAGTCTGACCATCAACACCTGTCAAGATATAAAAACAATTCACATGAATTTAGTTGGTGCACAAATGAGAACTGTGTCAAGTCAAGACCAGGTAAAATCTTCACCTGCCCAGCAGATAGTTAAAAGCAGCAGTCCTGTCCTATAGTCCATCATGTTAAACTGTGTGTCCACTGTTCTCTGTCCTCCTCTCTGCAGTCAGATAAGTAGAGGTGGAAGATATTTGAGTTTTGCATTGACTCCTCCTTTTTCATGAACAATATTCTCTATTCAATCTCTCCTCAACACTTATTTTCATTTTAAGGCTTTCTTCTAACCAAAAGGATGTTGTATTTGTATTTTATTTAAGATTAATTTCACAACTATGTTAAAGTTTTGATTTGGTTTATATTTCTTACCTGATGTCATTATTATCCTTGTTTGACTGTAAGTGTCTTTCTAATATTTAAACATGCCTATTTAACATGGCAGGCGGTTTTGTTCACTGCAACTTACTAATAATGGAATATTGCTACTGGTGATAAATAAAATTAAATAAAAAGTTATTTTCAAATTTCAGTTTCGGGTCATGTAGTATGAAAATCACCACGTAAGCTTCATTTGAGATGAGCAAACAGTTAAGATTTTTTCTGACAACATTAAAAGTAGAATTTCATGTATTGTTTTAAAGGGAAACTGACATCCTACATGTTTTCAGTTGTGTTTTGACCTGCAGCTTCTACTGGGTGGATTTTTTTTTTTTTTGTGAAAAATCTAATCCACAGTTTTATTAGACCAAAAAGAAACACTTCCACCTTTAATGATAATTCGGCTGCAATTATTAATTCTCAGAAAGTTCATTTTTTTGACAGTTTAGAAACACTGATCTTCATCAGTGCATTTATAATATAAAGGCTGTTTCAATCAGAATACAGCATTTAATAGAGCCGTGTAATAACTGCAGTTAAAACATAACAATGATCCTTTCACTGATATATTACCATAATTTCATCAAATATGAAAAACATCTGTATTTAAAGCATTAATAAAATCTAAAGTCTGTTTCTCTCTGTACTGTAACAGTGAGCTGGTGTTGAAATCATTAGTGGTCTGAGGGCTCCTCCTCTGGTGGCTTCATGTTACAAGTGTTCAGGCACTGAGGGGTTTTTGTTCAGGTCTACTGATGCTTTGTGTCACTGTGGCTCTCTGGCACAGTAATACACAGCAGTGTTTTCAGGCTGCACATTCTGTCCGTTTAGAGTCACTGTGTTGCTGGAAGAGTCGAAGCTGATACTGAACTTGTTCTTCAGTGAATCTTTGTAGTATGTGCTCCATCCAACACGTGCTCGTCCAATCCACTCCAGTCCTTTCCCTGCAGGCTGTCTGATCCAAGCTGTCCAGTAGCTGCTCACAGAATAAGAGACCTGACAGGTGATGGTCAGACGTTGACCTGGCTGCACAGTCACAGAGGCTGGCTGTGTCAACTGTTCACACTTTATACCTGTGGAGGAAAACATGTTGAATATTGAATGAGTGTAATAAGAGTGAACAGTCAGTGTGCTGTGATCATACTGTCAGTGTCTCTGCCTCAGTAAGACTCACAGGATCCAGCAGCCAGCAGCAGCAGCAGAGCTACAGAGAACATGGTTGGTATTGAAGGTGATCTGATGGGAGCTTCTCTTCTTCTGCTGCAGCTGACAGCATGATATCAAGTCTTTATAGCAGACTGTGAGGAAGTTTACTTTGCATAGATAAGGACACTGACAGGCTATAAAAGAAGGATGAACTGTCCTGTCACATGTAGTCAGAGCTTGGAATTAGGTTGTGAACATTTAGCTTGACATGTGAAAGAAAATATATTTTGTCTTAAAAACAATAACTTGAAATTAAATGTCTTTTTTCATTAAACTTCAAACACAACTCAGTTGAAAACTTATTTACACTCACTTAAATTTAATGTTCCCAGTCTCAACTACATATTGCATAACATCAGAGCTTAATGAAGCAGTTTTATATAGACTGTGTTGGTGATGTTCAACTGAAGCTTTTACTTGTTTTGACATGTTGAGTTTTTGTACAGCTCTGTGGCTTCCTGTGTCACTGTGGCTCTCGAGCACAATAATAAACAGCAGAATCTTCAGCCGTCAAGCTGTTCATCTGCAGATACACCTGGTCCACGTTGTTGTCTCTGGAAATGGTGAAGTGATTCTTGACTGATGTTGAATAATTTTTATTGCTTCCTCTCGGAGCAGAAATGAAGGCAACCCACTCCAGTCCTTTTCCTTCAGCTTGTCTGATCCAGGAGATATCAGCATCACCATCTGATATTCCTGCATATGTACAGGT